TCATACCTGAGTTATATCCCCCTTTTTTCCAGAGTATTTTTGGTAATATAACTAAGATTGGGATATAACTCGATATATAAACTATATAAAAAAGGAAAATTTATTCTGCTAAAAAGTGGGGATATAACTCAGGTTGGGATATAACCCAGTGGGGATATAACTCAGGTATGACTGTAATAATTTGAAGACATTTTCTGGGCATCATTTGGACCGTTGTCTGAACCTAACCTGGTATACATTTTCTTGGTGCAATTATAAGGAACAATTTTATATTTGTTTTTGCAATAAAATATATACTACTTAGTGATTGAATTTAGTTTTCTCTTACAATAAGATAACCGTAAAAATTTTTCAATATATAAATATGGTATCTTCTTTCTTGCATTTTATTTTCTTAATGATAAAATAAAATAAAAAATAAAACCACAGATAATTATTTGGTTTAAGTGCACAATAACTTCCAAAATTTTCTTTTAATTTGTTTTGTCTCTCATTTCTGGTGACTTATTGTGAAAATATATTAGGATGTTCCCTTCTGCTAACCAAGCAACTTATGCAACTTTTGAGTATCATTTACATTTTCTTTTTTCTTTTGATTGTTGTTCCAAAAAGTCATAAAATGCAATAAAAATTAGTGCAAATGACTGTCGTCCCAACAGGTCATAAAATGCAATAAAACTAATATTTATTTTGTAACAAATATAAATAAATACTTATAAAACAATAAGTATTTAAAAAATATTATTAACAAGTACTTATTTAATAATGCTATTTAATTTATATAAGATAATAGTTGGTTTAATTTTGTGATGATATTATAATAAAATAATATAAAATAATTAATTACAAGTGAAGTGAATTAAACAAAAAATAAGGTAAGGAGTTAGCTACTTAAATGTGATAAAAAAAATTAAAGTAATAAAATTTTATACATAACCGGAACTGTATTCAAAAAAAGTTGAACTAATAACACCACAAAATATGTAAAGACAAAATAAACACCAAACAATTTCTTATTATTAATACAAAACTCCACTGTTTTGCTATAAATTATAACATGAAATCAATAAAAATTTGAGAATTGCACTAAAATTACACTATTATTAATATATAAAAGGTTAATATATAAATACAATATGATATAGCATACACTATTCTAACTCCTTTAAGTAACTCAAGCGCCTAGTAAACTATAAAGTTTTTTCTGATATCTTATGATCTATAGAGTTCTCAATGCCCAGAAAAATCTTTTTTACTTAAAAAAAAGGTCGCGTGGCCTTATTGAAAAATTTTTTACTATAAAAAAAAAAAAGCCGCGCGGCCAGGTCACAGATTACTATCTTATAATATAAAATCAAGTATATAATTTTGCGTGGCCTTATAAACTGATATTTGTAGTAAATATAGTTAAAATAATTATTATCTATACTACATATCTTGTGAAAGCAAAAACTGACAATAACATAATAAATATACTACAATCATAAAGCTCAATATTAAATAAATACATCTATATAATCTTATTAAAAGCAAATGCCTAAATATAAGCACAATTGTATGTTATATAATTTTATACTCTAAATACTTTCTTTCAGATAGACAAACTAGTAACTGATATAACGCATAAAAAAATAATTCAAACTTCTTGACAATTTGACATTATATTCGCAATTTAAGCTTTTTTACTAATCGATCCAATTATATAAAAAACTCCCTTAGCATTACACTTTTAACCTTGTTGTATCTTAAAAATAAGTTGCATACACATGAATGAGAATATAGGAAAATACACAAATGCAATGATAAATAATAGTAAAAAATAGATTTTTAGACAAATAATTGGTAACTCATTGTAAATTTATTATGAAGGGCTGAATAGCGATAATTTATATAAATTAAAATATTTTATGCAGTAAAGGATTTTTTTTTTTTTTTGAAACGTACTTATGACAAAAACATTGATATTGAACCATTTGAAATCTTATTCACCTACAAGTTAGTCGTTTATTCCATCTTATTTTCCATTGAATCATGTAAACAACGTTTTCATATTCAACCTTCATTGCTATCTAAGTAATTTTTTTCTCGAAACAAACTTTTACAACCATTTCTTTACTCTGTTTTAACACATTTATAATTAATTAATTAATTCAAAGTTATTATATTGTTTATTTAGACTTACCCTTTTATACATTAGAATTACTTTGCAGCTCCGGCAGTAATTGTTTCTGTTCTTCGTTCCTGCACTGAGATAATAATGGATTTAATAATGACACTTCAACATTGGTGGCATTAACTACGTGAGCTTCTTTGGCTCATTCACCTCACCTCAACATCAATTTCAATTTTTGTTCATTTCGGTTAAAGAGGGTTCAATAAGTGAAGGTATTAAAATCTCATGGATTGGTTATAAAAAATGTCATACAAATTTCAATAACGATGGATCGGATTTTTTTAATGGGTCAATAATTGCTACTGTATGTTGATTTTCTATAAAATTCTAGCACATGAAACAATTATGTAAATAAAATCATCAATTAAATATCTACACGCAGAAGTTGATAATGAATTTTTTGATTGGACGAATAAAACGGAATTAAAATGCAATAATTCAGGTGATCGGCAAATGCCGATACGCACCGTCATAGTAACAAACAATTCGTGTAACAAGTGATTATATAAATCATCCGCAATTCAAACAAACACACTTTAGTCACATATCGATATCATGTCAAACGAAAGAAGCTTGTCAGACACATACAATCATCCATCTGCAAAATTTTCAGCAAAAAGGACTATTCACAATGATAAAGATCAAGTTGTTAATGATACAAACCAAGCAGATTTATCGTTAAATTATTCACAGAACTTTCTAAATAGAATTATCGAAGAACTATGTGATCTGTATAAAAAAGAAGCTACAAAAGGAAATTATGCTGACTCAATTATTTATGCCATAGAACGGCATATGGCAAATAAGAAGAAAGAACCAAAAGAAATAATAAATTTATGTTTGAATAACCAAACAAACCCTATTATTCAAACTAATTTTATCATTCAACACATTCTCGCATTTTGCTATGATTTAGGAATATGGATTAAAAGTGATACTCATAAAGCATTTATTCATTATCAAAAATCTGCAGAAATGGGAAATTCTATTGGAATGTGTGATCTCGGTTTTTGTTATCATTACGGAACCGGTGTTGAAAAAGATGATAATAAAGCATTCATTTACTGTCAAAAATCTGCAGATATGGGTAATTCATATGGAATCAATTTCCTCGGTGATTGTTATCGAGATGGAATTGGTGTTGAAAAAGATATAAATAAGGCATTAATTTGTTATCAAAAATCTGTTGAAATGGGTCATGCTATAGGAATGAAAAATCTTGGAAATTGTTATGAAAAAGGAGTTGGAGTTGAAAAGAATGCACATAAAGCATTCACTTATTATCAAAATTCTGCTGATATGGGTAACGCTAGTGGAATAAATAGGTTAGGATTTTGTTATGAAAAAGGAATTGGGGTTGAAAAAGATGAAAATAAAGCATTCACTTATTATAAAAAATCTGCTAATATGGGTAATTCTAGTGGAATAAACAATCTTGGAGACTGTTATGAAAATGGAACTGGTGTTAAAAAGGATGAACGTAAAGCATTTATTTATTATAAAAAATCTGCTGATATGGGTAATTCTGGTGGAATATATAACGTTGGTTATTGTTATCAAAACGGAATTGGAGTTGAAAAAAATGAACATAAAGCGTTCATTTATTATCAAAAATCTGCAGATATGTATAATGCTTATGGGGCAAATGAAGTTGGATATTGCTATCGAAACGGAATTGGAGTCGAAAAAGATGAACATATGGCATTCACTTATTATCAAAAATCCACAAATTTAGGTAGTGCTGCTGGAATGCACAATCTCGGATATTGTTATGAAAATGGAGTTGGAGTTGAAAAGGACGACCATAAGGCATTTATATATTATCGAAAATCTGCTGATATGGATAATGCTGATGGCGTATGTCAAGTTGGTTATTGCTATCTTCATGGAATTGGAGTTGAACAAGATGAATATAAAGCATTCATTTATTATCAAAGATCTGTTAATATGATTCTAGTGAAATAAGCAATCTTTGGTTATTGCTATTAAAATAGAATTAAAGTTGAAATGGATAAGCATTTATAAAAATCTTATGATTGAGAAAATAGAATAAAATTTTTTGAATATCGTTATAGAAATAGAATTATATTACAAGAGACTTAAAGAGAGCCAAATTTAGTATCAAAGCAATATTATTCAATCTATGCTTTTTTTACGTGATTATATTTTTTTTACGGTATAAGCTATATAGTTTACTTTATTAACTTTTTTCTAATCTTAAATTTAATAAATTTTAGTTATGAATAGAAACAAAACGAGAGTTCTTATCTTTATTTCTATAATAAAACTTGATCATATTAAAGAAATAGTACATGGAAATCTGCACAATGTGTAATTTGGTCAAAATTATTTCGATTTTTTATAATAACTTGTGTCCTAATATCACCATTTTTAAAATTTAAAATTAAAAATATTAGTCGTAAAGTTCTTATTTTGCAATACTTTGAATGATTACAATATTGAAAAGTATATACTTGATTAAAATTTCAGATTTAGATTCTTTGCGTAAAAATGCCCCCAAATTAGCGAATAAGTTTACCGTAAAGCCTTATAATTATTATTCACTGAAGTTCACATAATGGTAATATCTTGCAAGACGCTTTGCATAGTGCAAATATTGCAAAATTAAATGATTCACCAGGAGGAAAACATAAAATATCATCGATGTTTATTCATTTGGTATAACTAACGGAAAAATTTTATATGCAAATTAATTTTTATGATCAGAAAATTTGGAAAAAATATAAGTTCAATGCAAGAATAGAAATATTCTTTAACTATCTGATATAAAAAATTATAAACGATTGAAAATTATCACTATAAATAATTAGAGTTCTACAAGAATAGGAAGCAGCAGAGATTGTGATCGATGAACTTTGAGCATCATCGATGAGTTTCGTGCATTTTTTTTTTCTTCTAAATTTATAAAGTCAAGTTTTTCTACAAAAATTTAAATTAGAACGCTAAATAATTTATTTATTTCAGGGAATTCTTTACTACTTTCTGCATATTGTAAAATATAAAACAAAATATTATGAATTAATTTGGTGAATGTTCAATTTTTTTAAAAAAAACTTGCCGATCGATGCTCTGAAATTTGTTCATCGATACCAATCTTTAGACACATTTTTAGACATAATACCCTATGTGGGCACTGTTTTAATAATACTATGCTCAGCAGTTGTAAAGCTCTATAAACAATGTATAATATGTAATTTGTACTTTTTTTTTATAGCTAGTTGAATAAAAACAAACTTAGGCTGCAAAATTCATCCGAGACACAGATATATAAACGAATATACTATTCATCGGATCAGGCTCCTAATTCCTAATTCCGGCCGGCACTATGCACTCTGGTCTGAAGCAAACGATAGGCGCAGTCACTTATTTTCCAATCAGAATGCAGATTTGACTCCGAAAAAGAAAACGAAAATATAGAGAAAATACTCGTAACAGACATTTAAATTAATCTTGTTATACTAATTAAAAATAGTAAGTGACAATCTATATAGCCACTAATGTTCTAGCACTTAATTCGTAAAATTAAATTTCCTATTCTGGGCTTGTGTTACTCGAGAAAATAAATAAATTCTACAACGCTAACGCAACACAAAAATTTGTTTACAAAATTAGAAATATTATTTTAGTTACATATCGATATAATGTCAAATGAAAAAAGCCTGCCAGATGCTTATAATAATCCATCTACAAACTTGCCAGTAAAAAGCAATAGTTATAATGATAAAGATCAAATTGTTAATAGTTCAATACGAGCAAATTTATTATTTAAAGATTCCCAAGATTTTTTAAACAGAATTATCGAAGAATTATGTGATTTATATAATAAGGAAGTTACAAAAGGAAATTATAATGACTCAATTATTTACTCAATTGAACGGCATTTGGAAGATAAGCAGAAAAAACCAGAAGAAATAATCAACTTATGCTTGATAAATCCTATCTTTAAAACCAATTCTATTATTCAACATATTCTTGGAATTTGCTATGATTATGGAAAATGGGTTAAACATGATCATTATCAAGCATTTATTCATTATCAAAAATCAGCTGAATTGGGAAATTCTAATGGAATGTGTGATGTAGGCTTTGGTTATCAATATGGAATCGGAATTGAAAAAGATGATTGTAAAGCATTTATTTATTATAAAAAATCAGCAGAGATGGATGATCCACTTGGAATCGTTTCTCTTGGAAATTGTTATCGAGAGGGAATTGGAATTGAAAAAGATAACAATAAGGCATTGATTTATTATCAAAAATTATTTGAAATGGGTCACACTAAAGGAATGAATAGCCTTGGATTTTGTTAACAAAATGGAATTGGGGTTGAAAAGGACGAACGTAAAGCATTCAATTATTATCAAAAATCTGCTAATATGGATAATGCTGATGGTGTATGTCAAGTTGGTTATTGCTATCTTCATGGAATTGGAGTTGAAAAGGATGAACATGAAGCATTCATTTATTATCAAAAATCCGCTGATTTTGGTTGTGATGCTGGAATGAATAATGTTGGTGATTGTTATCGAAATGGAATTGGAATTGAAAAGAATGAGCAAGAAGCGTTCATTTATTATCAAAAATCGGCCAATATGGGTGATGCTTATGGTACAAATGAAGTTGGATATTTTTATCAAAACGGAATTGGAGTTGAAAAAGATGAGAATAAGGCATTTTCTTATTATCAAAAAGCTGCAAAATTGGGTAACGCTGTTGGAACGCACAAGCTTGGATATTGTTATGAAAATGGAATTGGAGTTAAAAAGGATAATAATAATGCGTTTATTTATTATGAAAAATCTGCTAATATGGATTACATTGGTGGTATTCGTAAAGTTGGTTATTGCTATCTGCATGGAATAGGAGTTGAAAAGGATGAATATAAAGCATTCATTTATTATCAAAGATCGGCAAACATGACACTAGCAAAATAAGCGGTCTTGGGTATTGTTATCAAAGGGAACTGAATTTGAAAATGATATACGTAAATAGTCGTAAGAAAATTCTTTTGTATCAAAAATCTGCAAAAAATAGATAGTTCAAAATCATAAGCATTTACTTATTTCCAAAAATCTTATAATTCGGAAACTGTTGGAATAAACTTTCTTGCAAATTTTTATAGAATAGAATTAAAACTATAAGAGATCTAAGAAAAGGCAATTTTTGTTATCCAAAGTGTTATAACTATTGTTACTATTTTTCTTTATACTGCATTTGCAAATTTTTATGTATACTTTAATTAATATTACCGTAGGCTATCAAATTTTATTTACTTCATTAATTTAATTACAAATGAAAGACTATGTGAGTATGTTAAAGAAAATTTTTGATGAAACGATGCTAATATATCTTAGATTTCCTATAGTGAATTTAGTAATATTAAAAAAATGGTAACCACTCATTTTCCTGTCATTTTTCCTATAGAAACTTACTAACATTACTATAACACAGCAAAATTAAATGTAACCAAAAGAAATATGCAAGAAAGATCTATAAAATTAAAATTATAATTTGTATGTAATTGTAGCATTTAAGCTACTTTGAAAATCGTTATTTTTTCAAAGATTTATTAAAATTTTTATTTTTTCTATTTATTATCGCATTATAGAATCTTCAACATCTCAAGCTTAATAGTATACAATTAACATTTCCATTTGTATTAGTAAACCTCTAGTTTTCAAATTTTAGTAATGCAGTGTTTATCAAGAATGTGCCCTGTGACTATATTTAGATTGTAATTTTTATTTTGTATTTAAAGTTTAAATATCAAAATTTACATTTAGAGTTTAAATCTTCTAATTTCATTAATTTCTTGAATTAAGTAAATGAATTGAATGATATTTTTTCTAGCAAATTTAAGTGGTTTTTATGAATCACTTTTTTAAAGTGTAAATTTAATCTTAGTGCAGTAAAACAACTTAAGATTGTGTGCATAGTAGACAGGTTTTGTATCAGTATTTTTTTTTTTTAATGGTAGTTACTTTATTAATCTTCAGAAGTTAAGTGTCTCTTTTTGTCAAAACATACAAGGTTTTATCAGTACAGAAATTTTACTAACAATACCCCCCACCGATTTGCAACAAAGCTTCACTTAGCTGCTCTAATATGCCCAAGTGTAACCAGATACATATCATTTCACTAACAATCAGTTCACTGACACCTCAGTTTATTGACAATCAATTCACCAACAAGCTTATTTTACCAACAATTAATTTACCAACAATCATTTCACTGACAATACATTTCACTAACAATATGTTTCGCAATAGATTCATTTCACCGACAATATATTTCACTGACAATATGTTACATCGACAATATGTTTCACTGACAAATTTATAGCTATTTTCATAAATTCTGGGATGTCTAAAAAAATTAGCTGATGATAATTTCTGCTGAATTCATTAAGTTATTATTTCAGTGAGATCTGTATAATAAAATAATTAATAAAAGCTATTTTTGCATCATAATGATCATTTTACAATGTCAACAATTTTAAATTTTTATTTGAATACTTGTTCAACATGTTTGGTTTGCTTAGTTTGTACGAAAATTTATAGAAAAAACTGTTTATGTTAACCAATAAACCTCAACAAGAAATGTAAAAAGGATTCAAATATAAACTAGACTTTGTAACAAATATATTGTGCTACTATTAAAAAAGTTAAATATGATTATGAATTTGTTAACTGGTTTAAAAATGAATCTCAAGCTAGGATTCCAAGTGACAAGATATTATTAATATCTGTTGAGGATGCATGAAGAATTATGATAAATGAAATTAAAATAAAAAAATTTTATATTTATATTTATTTATATATTTTTTGTCTTCGACAAGAAATGAAAAATAATTAGAAATAAATAAATGCTTTCATTTGAACAAAAATGACTTGACAAAGAATAAAAATCGAAATATAGTTTAGTTTTTTAAAAATAATATAAGTATTAAAAACGTGCTATTTTCTTTGTTTAGCTATCTTACAATTTTTCCAGTTTATTGCATTATATTGGATATGGTAATAATCATATTCAACAAACCAGGAATCTATATTAGAAATATCACCAAAATGAGGTTAGTTCTAATATCATAATTAGCTTTTTTATAGCAATAATAGCATGCAACCTTAGCTGAAATTTGTCTACAAAGTTTCTTTACTGTAGATAAGTTACAAGAATAGCAAATTACCATACATTTGATTCTTTTGCCAGATTGGAACTCAAACATGGCTGATAGATCTATTCTTTTTCAAAGTTCTATAAGCTAATCAATGATAATAGTTTAATTAGTGTAGCTTTGGTTCTGCTAACCCTGGTATAATAGCTAATATTATTATATTAGATGTTTTAAAACTATATATAATAAATTAGCATTAAAAAAAAATATAAAAATAAATATAAAAATAAAAAATAAATATATAAAATATATAAAAAATAATAATAAATATATAAAAATAAAAAAATAACAAATATATTAAAAATATAAAAAAATTAAAAAAATATAAAAAAAAATAATGAATATATAAAAAAAATTAAAAAAAAATTAGAAAAAAATTAGAAAAAAATTAAAAAATAAATAAAAAAAGTAAAAAATAACCTTTCTTGATATGTAAGATTATATATAATGATATATATAACTTTATGCTAAATGAGAAGTTTCAAATAGTTAAAACTAGCCCAAGTTTAATATCAATTCTATATGGCTATCAGCTATTTCAGAATAAAAAAATAGCTTCTTATCAATATTAGAGAAGGACTTCTATATTTTACTATCATATATATCTGATAATTGGGTTTTAGAAAATTAATAGGCCCATCTTCTGTATAACTCTTCAAACTCTGATTGCTGAATAGCTTTAGAAACTGTTGTTTAAGATTTACTATAGAATAGATTAATATTAGCTTCTTGATTACCCTATCTTTAATCTAATTTTTTGAAAGAATTGTATTATATAGTATCTGTCTATTGATATTTATATAGTTTGAAAGCTCTATATAGACATATTTAGATATTTTTGGATTTTGTTTCATTTTTTTGTTGAAATACCTTTAGGATTATATAATTTGCAACAAGATTCATATGCAGTGAATCTTGTTGCAAAATCAGAT